ACCTTCTCCTTTCCCAATTTGGAAACAGTCTGTTGTTCCAGGTCCAGCTCTCACCGTTGCTTCTTGACCTGCACACAAGTTTCTCAGGAGGCAGGTCAGGTGGTCTCGCATTCCCATCTCTCGAAGAATGTTCCACACTTTGTTGTGATCTACACAGTCAAAGTCTTTGTCAGAATCCATAAGCAGAAGTAGATTTTTTCTGGAACTTTCTTGCTTTTTCAATGATTCAACAGATGCTGGCAATTTGATCTCTGGTTCCTCTGCCTTGTCTAAATCCAGAAGAACATCTGGAAGTCCACAGTTCACATACTGCTGAAGCCCGGCTTGAAGAATTTTAAACCTTACTCTGCTATTGTGTGAGATGAGTACAACTGTGCAGTAGTTTGAACATTCTTTGGCATTACCCTTCTTTGGGGTTGGAATGAAAACTGACCTTTTCCAGTCCTGTGGCCACGGCTGAGTTTTCCAAATTTGCTGGCATATTGAGTGCAGCACTTTCACAGCAGCATCTTTTAAGATTTGAAATAGCTCAACTGGAATTCCATCATCTCCACTAGCTTTGTTCATAGCAATACTTCCTAAGGCCCACTTGACTTCACATTCCAGGATGTCTGGCTCTAGGTGAGTGATCATACCATCATGATTATCTGGGTCATGAAGATCTTTTTTGTACAGTTCTGTGTATTCTTGCCACCTCTTCCTAATATCTTCTGCTGCTGTTAGGTCCATATCATTTCTGCTTTTTATTGTGCCCATCTTTGCATGAAATGTTCCCTTGGTATCTCTAATTTTCTTGAAGAGATCTCTAGTCTTTCCTATTCTATTGTTTTCCTCTATTTCTTTGCATTGATCACTGAGGAAGGCTTTCTTATCTCTCCTTGCTATTCTTTTGAACTCTGCATTTAGATGGGTGTATCTTTACTCTTCTTTGCATTTTGTTTTTCTGCTTTCCTCATCTACTTGTAAGGCCTCCCCAAACAGCCATTTTGCTTTTTTGCATTTCTTTTTCTTGGGGATGGTCTTGGTCACCGCCTCCTGTACGAAGTCACAAACCTCCGTCCATAGTTCTTCAGGCACTCTGTCTATCAGATCTGATACCTTGAATCTATTTGTCACTTCCACTGTATAATTGTAAGGGATGTGATTTAGGTCATACCTGAATGGTCTGGTAGTTTTCCCTACTTTCTCAGTGCAAGTCTGAATTTCACAAGAAGGAGTTTATGATCTGAGCCATAGTCAGCTCCCGGTCTTGTTTTTGCTGACTGTATAGAGCTTCTCCATCTTTGCCTGCAAAGAATATAATCAATCTGATTTCAGTATTGACCATCTGGTGGTGACCATGTGTAGAGTCTTCTCCTGTGTTGTTGGAAGAAAGTGTTTGCTATGACCAGTGCATTCTCTTGGCAAAACTCTGTTAGACTTTGTCCCTGCTTTCATTTTGCATTCCAAGGCCAAATTTTTCTGTTAGTCCAGGTATCTCTTGATTTCTTACTTTTGCATTCCAGTCCCCTATGATGAACAGGACATTTTTTGGGGGGTGTCAGTTCTAGAAAGTCTTGTAGGTCTTCATAGAACCATTCAACTTCAGCTCCTTCAGCATTAGTGGTTGGGACTTAGATTTGGATTACTGTGATATGGAATGGTTTGCCTTGGAAACGAACAGAGATCTGTCATCTTTGAGACTGCACCCAAGTACTGCATTTCCGGCTCTTTTGTTGACTATGGGAACTTCTCCATTTCTTCTAAGGGATTCTTGCCCTCAGTAGTAAATATAATGGTCATCTACTTTAACTTTACCTACTCCAGTCCATTTTAGTTCACTGATTCCTAAAATGTTGATGTTCACTCTTGCCATCTCCTGCTTGACAACTTCTAATTTACCTTCATTCATAGACCTGACATTCCAGGTTCCTATGCAGTATTGCTCTTTACAGAATTGAACTTTATTTCCATCACCATTCACATCCACAACTGGGCGTTGTTTTCGCTTTGCCTCATTCTCTTCATTCTTTCTGGAGTTATTTCTCCACTCTTCTCCAGTAACATGTTGGGCATCTGCCAGCCTGGGGAGTTCATCTTTCAGTGTCCTGTCTTTTTGCCTTTTCACACTGTTCATACTGTCCACATCAACAAGCAAGCCTCAAAGTTTCCACAAGTATTAGGAAGGTCATGGATATATCACTTTTCTTTCTTTTCACACCTCTGTTTTCCTCTCTTCCTGGAGAGATTTGAGAGATTTGTTTTTCATTCACTCAGTTGTATCCAACCTTCTATGACCCCATGGACTGCAGCACACCAGGCTTCCCTGTCCATCACCATCTCCCAGAGCGTGCAGAAACTCATGTCCATTGAGTCGGTGATGCCATCCAACCATCTCATCCTCTACTGTCCTCTTCTCCTCCTGCCTTCAGTCTTTCCCAGCATCAGGGTCTTCTCCAATGTGTCGGCTCTTCACATCAGGTGGGCAAAGTATTGGATCTGTAGTGTCAGTCTTTTCAGTGAATATTCAAGGTTTATTTCCTTTAGGATCAACTGGTTTGATCTCCTTGCAGTCCAAGGGGCTCTCAAGAGTCTTCTCTGATCTCTTCTCTTCTTCAACAGGTCCTCAATGGCAAATACAAGCTCAAAGGAAGTGCTGAGTGGTGAGGAATTTTAGTAGGAAACTTGAGATAACACATGGCTGTCACCTCCTCTACTCACATAGAGAGTTGACCTGTCCTCTGCTTGGGCTGTGCGCACCTCAAAGTGTTTCCCTGACACTTGGTGGAAGAATGATAGATCTTTCCTGAGTCAGACTAATGGGGCCTCCTTGGAAACTATGTTGAAATCTACAACCTGGGTAACTATTTCAGAGGAATCCCTACTCTGTGTTAACTGGGTTCTAGGTGGGGATTCCCTAGAGAACAGTGTGCATGTCTTCCTCTGTCTTTGTCCATTCCTGTCTATCTAACTGAACACTCCTGGCTGTCTTTCCCTGGAGTCATAGGTCTCAGGGACAAACAGTCACAGATTGGGGTGCGGGGTGACTTCCAGACACACATGGGCCAGTGCCCCTGGCCTTCTGGAGCCTTCTTCCTTGTCCACTAGAAGGTGCTGACCTGGACCGCTTCTACCAGATCCATACACCCACGTGTGTGACTGAATGACCCTTGGATGTGACTCTGGATTCTAGTCCTTAACAGGTCCTTTGAAGTTTCTTTCCACCAAGAAATGCCCCTGATATACACACGTAGGCCCAAACCGGAAAATCAAAACCCAAAACCCAGGAAACACCCTGACTTACTCATTCGCCAGCTCTAGCACTGGGGACTCAGCTACCCCGAAGTCCAGGACCTGGCAATGTGGAAATAACTCACCAGGGAATGAAGACTGCTTATTAGAAGAACAAGAGATGATAAAGCGGGAAGGAGAAGGAGCTAGGGAGCGTGGGGCTCTGACTCTGCAGGAGAGCACACCCTGGAGAAATCTGCAGGTTCCTCCAAGGACTGAGACTTCATGCTGGGTCAGAGGAGCAGGTTAACTCATGTCATCCAGGATTTTTTAGTCTCCCCATGGTGGACCTGACTGGGTAATTCTCAGTGCTGAAGTGCTGTCCTTGCATTATAGGCTTCACCTCTAATGATGAGATGGAAGGTGTCACCAACCTCCTCTCACACTGTGACACCCGGAAATGCCACCACACATGGCAAGTCTCTCCCTGGGAGTCACAGAGTCCCCTGAATCAATTAGTTGCCTACATTTTTGTCAACATTTATGAGAAAGTTTGGAATCAAGGTCCTATGACTTCCTTTAGTTATAAAATAATAAGATTGCCACAGCCTGTTGCAATCATCTCTTAAAGTAACTATGTTAATCTCCCCCTGATTGTCAGTAAGAAAGGTCTTTCTAAAATGGGAGAGTCCTAGGTTACCTTCCCAGGGGACACATGTTGGTAAGAATCCAAAAGGAAAACCTGGGAGTGTTGAAGAGGCCTAAGGAGAGACAGAGGATGATTGAGGGGTGGATAAAGGGTGTCAGCGGAGATAACGCTCCTGTCAACATTATCTGAATCACGACTACCCTGGTGGCCAAGTGGGTAAGACTCCACATTCCCGCTGCAGGAGGTTGCTGGTTCCATCCCTGGGTGGGGAACTGAGATCCCTGCTTGAGAAAAAAAATACAGTGAAGAGATTCTTTGACAGTTTGAGACCTTCAAAATAACTAGACATTTAGAGTTAGGTAGTTTGGGTTTTTTCCCCTCAAAATTCTAGAAATGACAAGAACTACTGTAATGCTTTCTTGCTTGCCTGAGAAACAATGGAGTCAGTGAGTGAATGGTATATTACAGATTAGAAGGGTAAAAGGATGTCTGGAAGAGGAGTGATGGAAATGAATTCCTGACATGCCTTCTTTAGCGGAGCTCAAGGGGCATTTGAACAGATCTCCCGTTGGTTATAGGAGGGACAGGTTTCCTGCTGTGGTGCAGGAGGAAGTGATAAACATGATTTGTGCTGATGTGCTCCACAACTCAGAGAAATTGGAGGCTTTTCAGGGGTCTCTTAGAAAATCATTTAATTATGCTAACCATACACTGAATTTTACTTTTAGAAAATTAAGTTTAAACCATCTCCTCAATGTTAAGGAAAGAATACAGGAGTGAGGGAACACATGTCCTGAACAGTTTATCCCATTTTGGATCTCAAGCTATCAAGGAAAATAAATGTTCCTGACCTTGAAATACGGGGTGTGTTGTGATTTCTCACTCACTCTAAAGGTCAGATGTCCAGATTCACTTAAGCGTCTCCTGAAACAGTCCTTGTTTAAAGGACAAAATGCCAGAAAAGCTCATTCCTGCCAAGCAGGATATTGAAGATGACGTCTGTGCAACCTTGGGGGAACAACCATTGGTTCATGACGTGTCACGCCAACATAATGATCCTGCAAGAAGTGGCACCAATTCGCATCCTCTCCAATAACTGGAACCCTCTCACCCTCTCCAAAAGGACTACGAGGGCCACAAGATGAAGGTTCTGGTGCTGAGTCTTCTCCTTGGTCTGGTTTGTGATGCCCAAGAAGCGGATGATCAGAAAGGTCTCTCACAGGTACCAGGGATGCTCTGACCTGGGAGGAGGTCTTGGGGGGTCGGGGGGTGCTGTGTGTGTATGTGTCCCTTTTGTGGTTTTGTTATGTGGATCCATAAGCCGAGCCACCTCCCTCCAGCTCCATCGCTCCATTTGCTGGCTGTATACTTGTCCTATTGGGTCTCTATTATCTCTACTGTGTATTAGATGTGACTCACACATTTGTCAGGGCTTCCTTGATAGCTCAGTTGGTAAAGAATCCACCTGCAATGCAGGAGACCCCGGTTTGATTCCTGGGTCGGGCAGATCCACTGGAGAAGGGATAGGCTACCCACTCCAGTATTCTTGGGCTTCCCTTGTGGCTCAGCTGGTAAAGAATCCACCAGCAGTGTGGGAGACCTGGGTTGGATCCCTGGGTTGGGAAGATCCCTTAGGGGAGGGAAAGGCTACCCACTCCAGTATTCTGGCTCGGAGAAGACAGTCCATGGGGTCACAAAGAATCGGACACGACTGAGCGACTCTCACTCACTCGCACATTTTTACTGCTTTTGTTACAGAGATAGAGGATCAGTCAAACAAGTGTTGGATTGTAGTTCTTGCACTTGACAACAGACCTTAAGCTGTTTCAGAAATGTCTTCATTTCTTCCCTTCTTTGACTTCATCTTTTTTTTTTTTTTTACTATTTTATAAACCCTGCTTTGTTCAGTTGTTAGATAATGTGTGCTGGTGAGCACGAGGGATGGGGAACTCATGAGCGTGATGCTGGATGAAATAAATAAGACAAAGATGCAAATTTCTAAAAGGAATTTTATCCTTAGCTTTCAGGAAAATGGAGAACTGTGTACATCGCCTCCACCAGCCCAGAGAAGATTGCTGAGAACGGGCCATTCAGAGTTTACTTGTGTTACCTTGTCTTTGATGATGAACAAGGCACAATAGACATCTACTTTTATGTCAAGTAAGTAAAAATAACCCAGAAGGAAAATACATATAAACCTCAAGCCTGAGGGAGGCTGTGGCTTCCACGTCTGCAGGGAACTCTCAGGATTATGTTGATAGCCAGACCCCCTGAGCTGTGTGGCTGAGCAGGGTCCCTGAGCTGGAGGGTCTAGTGGGGGCAGTTCCCCTAAGAGCCTCCAGGGAATGTTCTGGAGCCCTTGCTTAGATGGGAGAGTCCCCGAAGCTCCACTGGCATCAGCTCATTAAAGGAAAGAGGGACACAGCAGAGAGAAGAGGTCCGTGCCTCACACCCCACAGTTCCAACCAGAGGCTTGAACCCTTCCTGCGGAATTTTCAAGAGAAAGTTCCCACTGAGCCCGAGAAGCTGAGGGCAGGGGGAGAGCACACGGTGACCTCTGCCCTGCAGGGCTTCCTCAGGGGATGACTCATCATCACTGAGTTTACTAAAGCTGTCATAGCCCCAGGGACCACTCAGAGAAGGTCGACTAGACAGCAGATGGTTTATAAGGAACGTGCAAACTCAGATATGTATTTTGAGGAATAAAAGCATTAAGAAAAAAACACCTAAGCATTTTATGCTTGGAGAGGTTGGTTTATAGATATAAATGTTTATATATTATATATCGCATATGTATATATTTGATAGTGTGTGTGTGTGTGTTAGCTCATTCATGTCTGATTCTTTGTGGTCCCATAGACCATAGCCAGCCAGGATCCTCTGTCCATGCAGTTTTCTAGGCAAGAATACTGGAGTAGCTTGAGATTTCCTTCTCCAGGGAATCTTCCCAGGCCAGGGATCGAATCCCCATCTCCCAGTCTCCTACATTGGTAGGGGAGTTCTTTACCACTGTCCCACCTGGGAAGCCCATGTGATAATATGGGTGCGTTAGCACTCAGTCACTTTGGCTGTGTACAGCTATTTGTGATCTTATGAACTGTAGCCAGTCAGACTCCTCCATCCATGGGATTTTCTAGGGATGGACACTGGAGTGGGTTGCCATACCCTCCTCCAGGGGATCTTCCTGACCCAGGGATAGAACACAAGTCTCCTGTGTCTCCTGCATTGCAGGCAGATTCTTTACCTCTGAGCCACCAGAGAAGCCCTCTTTGATAGCATTCTTACAATCAAATTACAATCAAATTATAAAGATACAGACTCACAGACACATACACACACATATGTATATATTATATCCTAGGAGGATATATTATAACTGTATTCTGTCTGTTTTCACTAATTTTTTAAGAATATTATATTATCTTCCTCTGTGCCATTTTTATATTTGAGTTCTATGTTTGAATTTTCATGTGGCTAATCTTTCTGAAACCAACTTTGCAGAAGTGTGAAAGTGAAGTGAAAGTGAGAGTTACTCAGTCATGTCCGACTCTTTGCGACCACATGGACTATACAGTCCATGGAGTTCTCCAGGCCAGAATACTGGAGTGGGTAGCCTTTCCCTTCTCCAGGGGATCTTCCCAACCCAGGGATCAAACCCAGGTCTTCCACATTGCAGGTGGATTCTTTACCAGCTGAGCTACCAGGGAAACAGAAGTGTATTTATGGGTGATTATATGCATCTTTGCACACATTCATGCTGTCGATTCAGTCGTGTCCGACTCTGCAACCGCATAGACGGCAGCCCACCTGGCTCCTCTGTCCCTGGGGTTCTCCAGGCAAGCATACTGGAGTGGGTTGCCATTTCCTTCTCCTACATGCATCTTAGTGTAGGGCATAGTTCAGTGTGTTTTGACCGGTACACACATTTTTCATGACCTCCATGTCCAGATATAAAAATTCTATTCTTCACCATTCAACATCTACCCTTTAAGCCACAGATAAGAACAGATCTGTTCATCTCACCTCTTCTAGAACTTCAGAGGCCAGCATTATGCACCCTGCATCATTTTCCCCGGCTTCTATCACTTAGCATAATGTTTTAAAATTTTACCTCACTGTCTGCATATGCAGGGAGTCACATTTTTCAAGCCAAGTGAAAGGATATGGTTTACATAAAAAATTTATTATATTTTGCAGATATTGGAAAATGGTTTTGTTCCCACTTTGTGGTTATTTTGAGTAACTGCAGTGCATTTTCCTAGTGACTAAGAACACTTAGCACAATTCATTGTGGGCATTCTTTCCCAAGGTGTCTGTTCAAGAACTAATTCTTGTTGAGTTATTTCCCTTTTAATATTTATTTTGCGTGTATGCTTCCTATAGGCCATATACCCCTATTTCACACATGACATATATGAAGACATTCAAAGTCTTTGGTTATATAGTTGACAATATGTATTTTCATATATTACATATACATATATAATTTCCTTATGTCATATAAGCATAATGTGTACTTGTGGGTTTACTTGTGTGTGTATATGTTTCAATGTGCATGTATACATGCATGTGTCTTTCACTTACATTGTTGTGATGGAAGAATAGTGTGTGTTTTGATAAAATTAATCATTTCTTTCTCTAATTTTTTTAATTTTTTTTCCCTATCATATTATCTAACCAGTCATTGCCAGGGTAGTGAGAATCCCCAAGGTCTGCCATGATGGCAACACGTCTCTGTTTCCAGGAAGCATTTTTTTTTAAAGCTATATTCATTTAATTTTCCCTAAAAGTTTAGATCTGTCCATATTTATTCTCCTTTCAACATGACTTGCTTTCTATTTGCAGTTTAACCTTGGAACTACTGCTCAGATTTAATGTGTAGACAAGCCATCCTCGTCACTTGATAGTTACTTGGCCTTAGAGGATATGTTTCTTCTCTTTTGAAGGTCACATTGCTCACAGGCACTAAGGTTACAGCACACACTTAATCTTTGGGGAGAAACAAAGAAAATCCTAATTATATGTTAATTTTTTCATTATTTTAATCAACCACCATGAATATGTTTTATTTTTAAGGTTGAACGGAGAATGGGTAGCAAAACATGTCACAGGGGAAAAGAAAGAAAACAACACTTATGTTGTGGAGTGTAAGTATGACTGTTTCACTGGTCAGAGTATGTTTGGGTGGAAATCTTGGTCTCAACTTCCTTCAATTATCCCACACACCTGAATTCTACTCCAGTGAACAGTTAGAGGTGTGTGCAGGCCGCAGCCCCCAAGATGTCCAAGCACTTTATTTTGTCATGAGCAAAGGGTTCACACACACACATTAGAGGTCTCCTCCTAATTATGAGTGCTTCTCTTGAGAATAACATGTGCAGACGTGTATATCATATGGTTCTCACAGGTAATTCACAACAGCCTTACAAACTGACATCTCAATGGTCTATTTGAGTTTGCACATCGTCATTCAATTTTTATAAACAGTCTTAAAATATCTTAATTCACCCAAGGTACGATGGATGAATTAAATGCAAGGAAATCATCCTGAATTCAATCATAAAAGTAGCTTCTATTCAAAGCACTGGAGATGCTGCTAAGATTTATATCTGTAAGCTCTTAGTAATGGCAGTAAACAACATTCCTAATTTTACATGGCTTAAGGGATACCTATTTGACTAAAATTTAAATTTGTCAGGTCAATTGTAAGGAAAGTAGGAATAAAAAAGTCTTGCCTGCTTTCCTTGACTGCCGTCATAACAACTGTAGCATTCATTGCACCCTTGGAGTGAGACACACATCAGGACAGGATGTACCATTGCTAATGCTCTCAACTGGCCACAATAAATCTAATTGAAAATAAATTAAGATTGGGTTGTATATATGTATATATATACACACATATGTATTTGTCTTTTCTCTCTCTCACAGATGAGGGTGAAAATAAATTTGAAGTTATTTATGCATCTGACACTGTTCTGGTAATAAGTGTTGTCAACAAGGATAAGAATAGAAAATGTGGGGAGATACAGTTGGCTGGAATATTTGGTATGTGTGATACCCTCATATCCACATTGACATGGTCATGAAACATTTCCATTGTCAGTACTTTTATTCAGAAAACCTGTATGTGGTGACAGTATCCATTATTCAGTGTATAAGACCTGCCTCTTTTTGTTCAGTGAGTTAAGGACCCTGGAACATAACCTACCAAAAAAGAGGAGATGGTAGGGATGGGAAGTATCAGGTCATCAAATATTTCTACGTAATTCCCACCTGTTGACATTTTTTAAAAAATTGAGTTTTACTAGAAGTAGTTTGTTTTTAATTGGAGGAAAATTATAATATCATGTTGGTTCCTAGATTTTTTAAAAAACGTATCAATTAATTTCAATCCTTTACTTTAATGAGGCTACTCTCAATTTCTTCAGCATACCATGTTCTCGATGAACTCTAAGCCTTTTAAAAAATTTTTATTAATTAATTAGTTTATTTATTTTACTTTACAACATTGTATTGGTTTTGCCATACATTGACTTGAATCCATCATGGGTCTTTTATATTAAATCTTTGTTCTGCTCAGTTTTCAAATGCACTGTTCTGTGAGCATCAGCATCATCCCCAAATAACCACACAGAAGCACTGAGAGGTGTGTACCATCGGGACATCAGGGGTCTATTTCAGAAAAGGTAGTGGGTGGACTAGTGGGTTAATTAACGGATACATCGCCTCCCATTTTCATGTGTGACATGACAAATGTGTCTCTGTCAGGGCAGAACCGTGTTTCCTATTTATCTGGATCCAGAACAAGATCTGAGTGGCAGGTATGGGTTCCAGAGTGTTGATAAAGGAACAAGTAGGTTCCATACAGTGATGGGTTGAGCCCCAAATTCATGGAGTTCCTGCGAGTCTTTGGGGTCCTCTTGCTGATGCTAGTGGTGTCCTAGTTAGAAAGTTGCACTGTGATTAATTCTTAAGACAGACATCTGTGTCATGGGAAATGATAACTCCTTGAGGCTTAATTTATAACAAGGGAAGAGCTGATTTGCACATTCTACTTCTTGTTCTGCTTTCAGAAATTTCTCTGGGTTGTAAGGGGCAAAATTCTGCTTTGTGTATGGTGTTTTTCAGTTAAAGTAAATGATATTGAAGAGAAAGCCTTGGAGATATTCAAGGAGCTGTTGAAACTGAAAGGGATTGAAGAAAAACATATTGTGAATTTCTTCGAAAGTGGTAATTGAATTACATTTTTTCCTAAATATATCATTTACCTGATACATAAATATACTATCAGGAAGCAAATCAATTTATTTGAAGTTTCTTTCTCCATAAATAATCTTTTATATATTTAATTACTTAAAAAAAAAAACTTGAAAATACTGGGGAAGGGTAGTAATCAGTGGATCATTTTTTCTTGTTGTTGTTTTGATCTTCCCCCAGATGACTGTCCTCCCTGCGCAAAACTATGGAGTTCAATAAAAGCTCAGTGTAAGTGAAAATATTTGTTACTAACGTCTTTCCATTAAATCAATCAGTAAGGACTCATGGTGATTTCATACATGCCAAACTTGGCAGGTAATGATTTTTTGTCCCAATAATTTATATTCTATAGCCAGATAATTTTTCTGTTACATTAGGTAATTTCTCTTCTCTTGAGCCATGTTAAATTGCAGATGGGTTGGTTGATTAATGCTGAGCAGTTTTGGTGAAAAAGCCTTATCCTGCAGGAATCTTGCAAACCAGGGTCATCAGGGAGAAGCAGTGACTGCCACAAGTTGGTAGGAACTAGTGTTCCCATCAGTCCTGATTTTGTGGTTGTCAATACAAGTCCCTACACCTGGAGAACTGGGATTAAAGAGAGCTCATGTTTTCTGCAGGACCAGTGTTTAACCTCACATGATTCCGATAGAACTAGTAAAGACATTCCAACCACGCTGCCTGAAACATGCATTTGGTTTACATTCCCCCTCAGAAGATTTTCTTCAAGTGAGATCTTTAACTTTCTACACTAAGACAGCCTCAGAAAATGAAACTGTTCTAGGCTAAAATGTGGCTTTTGACTTTCTGTTGAGGAAAAAAAAGTGGAAAAACAAGCAAAGAAAAACACTAGCTTCCTGGTGAATATGGTAAGAAAGATGTGGTGCATATAGTCAATGGAATATTACTCAGCCACAAAAAAGAATGAAATCATGCCATTTGTGGCAACATGAATGGACTATATACTAAGTAAAGTAGGTCAGATGGAGAAAGACAAAGACCACATGATATCACTTATATGTGGAATCTAAAATATGACCCTATGGAACTTCTTTACAAAACAGAAACACTCTCACAGATAGAGAACACAGACCTGTGCTTGCCAAGTGGAGGAGGATTGGGGACGAGAAGGACTGGGAGTTTGGGGTTAGCAGATGCAAACTATTATTTACAGGATGGCCAGACAACAAGATCCAACCGTATAGCATAGGAAACTATACTCAATACTCTGTACAAACCTAAATGGGAAAGGAATCTGGAAAAGAATAGGTATTAATATATGCATGCATAAACTAATTGTGCTGCTGAGCACCTGAAACTAATACACCATTGTTAGTCAAGTATACCCCCAAATAAAATTAAAATTAACTCTTGAAGACCCCAAACACAAAGCTTGTGGAATTAGAGGCAAGTACTCCAATCACAGAGCCTGTAAATGACCTTTAGATGAACCATCCCAGTGAACATGCAATCGGAAATCTCCTAGAATGAATTCCAAATGGGAAAGGTCACCCTATATGAACATCTTTGGGAAAGTCCCACCTGGACCAGCATATCACAGAGATGTGGAGTATTGAGGTCCACCAGGAATCTGCCCGTTGGATCGGCTACCAGCTCCTGTAGCTTGGACAGCCTTCTGCCTGAGGCTCACCCTTGTCAGCCACCACACTGTCGACCCTACTAAACTTTGGTCCTGTTTTATTCACCTACAGAAACAGTCACTGAGGCCAGACACATCTTCTTAGGCATGGAGTCAAGATCCACCAAATGAAGATGACTTTCCTGATTAACATGGTCCTTCTCTCCTCACACTCCCTTTCCCATCTCATCTCTCCTGGTCACTAATCATGTCTGGTGGTATTTGATTTCTGAGGGTTTAAATAAATTGGCTTAATACACAACCGACTTACATGTGTCTGTACAAAAGTCCCCTATTTTAAAAGACACAAATATGCATGCTAAATTTGACTCTCCAGAAAAATAAGCCTTTAATAAGATAAGTGTGCATCAGAGACAATTCTGATGAGGAGTAAAGAGAGATGTCCGAGAGGGTTTAGCGGAGAAGGAGAAAAATGACTAAGTCACCAGGGGACAGGGTTACGGATCCTCTTATTGTGGGGAAGGGGGCAGTCTGGTCATGAAAGACATCCCTAGAAAGCATCTTATTCATTACGGGGCAAGGAACTTGTGTTCCACTCACTGAAATGCATAAAGAGAAAGTGCAGTATGCCATGGGCCATAACTGAGGGGGAAAAATGCATATTCTGAGAGCACCAAAACTTCCGCAATTGAGCTGAAGGGCTGATATTTCTTGATGGCTTTATCGCTAGTGATCAATGGTGGCCAGCTTATAAGCCTTGGTCAAGCCATCATACCATGAAGCCAGTGCAGCGGGGTGGGGACAAGGTGACTGACAGTTCAGTCAGGAAGCTGTCGTTGTTCACAGCATCTAAGGGTGGTCTTCCACTCTCCCACGCGTCAAAGAACAGTGGACGCTAGTATTTTGAAGGAGAGGCGATTCCCACTGTCCTGGGCAGGGCACCTGATCAACCCCTTTACAATCCGAAAGATCTAGCACCCTCAAAACATAGAACTTACAGGGCTTCCCTGATGGTCAAGTGATGAAGAAACCGCAGGGTCACCTTGCCAATGCAGGGTGCATGGGGCTTGACCCCTGGTCTGGGAAGATCCCACACGCCTCAGGGAAGCTACCCTATGCACCACAACTCCCGAGTCCACACGCCTAGAGCCCACGTGCCAAAGAGAAGCCGCTGCAATGAGAAGCCTGAGCACCGCAACTAGAGAGCAGCCCCACTCACTGCTGCGTGAGGAAGCCCGTGCCGCAAAGAAGACCCAGCACAGCCCCAAACAAGTCAGTAAGTCTTTGGGGGGAAAAGGGGAAAAAAGTATAAAATCTATTTGAAAGGTTGGGCCAAAATTTAGAAATCTAGTCCAAGTTCTGGGAAAATAGTACTAGACCAGCTGCTGCTGCTGCTGCCAAGTCGCTTCAGTCGTGTCCGACTCTTAGCGACCCCATAGACGGCAGCCCACCAGGCTCCCCCGTCCCTGGGATTCTCCAGGCAAGAGTACTGGAGTGGGTTGCCATTTCCTTCTCCAATGCGTGAAAGTGAAAAGTGAAAGTGAAGTCGGTCAGTTGGGTCCGACTCTTCACGACCCCATAGACGGCAGCCCACCTAAGTGACACTTAACAGAATAAGTGTTTTAGCTCCTTCATAGACATGTCCTCCAAATGGGCTACAGCTGGCAAATTTGAAAGGCACAAGGAGCGAATATTTATGGTTTAGCTGGTAGTAGCAGAGGTCAAGGGCGGTGTTTAAATCCTCCCACTTGTATAGCACAGTGCCTACAGCTGGGGTTCTGACTCCGGTCTTCACAGCTGGTGTGGAAATGCTGGATTCGATGGGTGGCTACACATATGCAGCTGAATACAGAGTAAGGGGATGAATCTCTTAAGAGATGTTGGAAGACAAGACCTGGCTTGGCAAGTCAAAAATTGTGAGATTTCATATAGACACAGACATGTACACACAGACATATGTATGCATGTATTAATACATACATGTGTGTACCTATATTTTTGATATCAATATTAATAAGGGAAAAACCAAATTATCACCACAAATCCAACAGTTAAAGAGCCCAAGGAAACCATGAACAGATTTATGTTAGTAGGATTAACACTCCTGATGAAATGAACACATTACTTGAAAAATGTGTGACTAAAATTGATACATGATGAAACAAAAAATTTCTACTGTCCTTTATCTATTAAAGAAACTGAATACAATTTTCCACAAAGTTGAAGGTCAAGAAGATTTAACTGAAATTTTTCCAAGAAGTAAGAAGAAATATCACTAAACTTAGAAAAAGTCATCCATAGATACGTATGAGTTCATATGAAATTATTCTCCATCATAATTTGCTCCTTAATCCCATAGACAGAATTAGGTACTTCCAGTAGATTTGTTTAGACTCTGTATATGTCCACATGCTTTTTCATGAACACACAAATATACTAAGATATTGGAGAGTTCAACAGTCTTGAAACGTATTCATGTTTACTTAAAATGCTAATATTTTTACAGATTGTATGGATTCATAGAGATCTAATTCATGAATCCAATTTCTTACCCTTTTCACTATGAATGTGTCATAGCTACTAGACCATTAAATTTATTTCTAAATGTTTCAACACCACAATCAACAAACCCGTAAATGTCTTCTATTCGTATCAATTGCTTCGTACCTTTGCACGAAATGCTTCTTCAAAGTGAATGCACTTCTGGGGACTTCCCTGGTGGTGCAGTGGATAGGATTTGCCTTCCAATGCAGGCAGTACGGTTTCTACCCCTGGTCAGGGAGCCAAGATCCTACATGCATCAGGGCCAAAATCCCAGAACATAAGACAACAGAAGCCATTTTGTAACAGACTGAATAAAAACTTTAAAAATGGTCAAGGTCAAAAAAAAATTTCTGAACAAAAATGAAGGTACCTCAGAATTTTGATAGATGCAACCAGCCAAGGGGACCTTTCAAACCACATTTGTATTTTCTGTTCTCACATCCTATTGAGTTCTCACAGATTCACTCTTAACTCACTCTTCCAACGATCCTCAGAGGGTCACTTAAAACCCTTCCCTGTGGAAATGTTCTCTTTCTGAAAGTAGACCTCAAACACACTCTAAATTCCCAATTTTTTTTTTTAAGCAAAGCGTTCATATTTTATTTACCTATATTTAGGTGGCATTTATTTTTAAATTTCTTTTAACTGAAGGATAATTGCTTTACAAAGTTGTGGTGGCCTCTGCCATGCATCAATGCCAATGAGTCATAATTAGACATAGCCCCTCCCTCTTGAGTCTCCCCCCAACTCCCCGCCCCACCCCCCGGGGTCATCACCAGCACTGAACTGAGCCCCTGCTCTATAGCGGCTTCCCACCAGCCGTCTGTTTTCCACGTGGTC